TTGCCGCCCCCCGCCTGCGGTAGCGGCCCGGCGCCTGCGCAGAGCCGAGGGGCGGGGCCGTGGAGCCACAGGGGCGGGGCCTCGGGAGCCCCTCTCGGGCCCGGACCTCCTTCGCTTCTGCACCCACCCACCTGACACCCCTCGTTCCTCACCCGGATCCCTCCTCTGCCCGACCCTCCTTTCTCCACCCCCTGACACCGGGCGGTGCAGCCCTCTGCTGCGGTCCTCCTCTTCCACCCACCGCCCCCCGACACCCCCCGTGCACCCACCTTCTGTCCGGACCTCCCTCTCGCAGCACCCACCCACCTCACCCCCTTAGTTCTCCCCGCTTCTGCTCGGGCCTCCTCCTCTCTCCGCCCACCGGCCCCACACCCCTCGTCCCTCCCCGCCACCCCCCACGAGCGCACAGACAGGTGAGCAGGTGCGCGGGGACCGTGCCAGACGCTGACGGAGGCGGCGGCTGTGGCTTCCTTGTGGCTTGTCCCCTGAGGGTGGCTTCTCCCTGTGGGGAGGACACTGTGTGTGCGCGTGTGTCCTCTGCACCGCCACCTCCTCCCCTCAGGACCCTGCTACCAGAGAGAGGTTTGTCGCTGTCGCCGTCGCCCCCAGCTGCGGCAGCTGTCAACCACATGCCTTGAAAGGGAGTGGAGTGGGGGCGCCTCTGGGCCCTCCCTCTCTCGACCTGCCCCGCTCTGCCCCCTGGGAATTTCCCAAAGAAAGAGCAGAGCCCAGCGCACCGTGGGGGGCTGGCCAGCACGTCAAGGGCTGCACGCCGATGGAGAGGAACGGGCCTTCTCTGCCCAGGGAAAGAGGCTGACACCGGCACGCGCAGCCGGATGAAAATAGAACTTGTCAAGCAGCGATCGCTCGCTCGGGAGAGAGGGCCCAACAACAAACGGCTCTTGAACTCGTCTGCACTGGGTGACAGTGGGGTAGTTTGGTGGCAGCTACGAATCCCACGTTTCAAAAACCCCCCAACGATCCTCAGATGCAATCCCAATATCTGATGCCTGTCTTTCACATAGGCATGTACAGTTCAAAGGATTTGTGAGATTATATTAAAAATATGGGGTGATTCTCACTGCCAGCCTCGGTGTATGATGAAAGTAGATTGCTCCTCCAACATAGGCTAAAGGAAAATTAAAAAAAAAAAAAAAAACTTTTAATGAAAATGTACACATTAATCTTGCTCTTGGTATTGAATTAAAACAGAATAGGTATGACTGCTGTGTTAGTCCCCAGAAATGAAGGATGTCGTTTTCTTTAATCTTTCCTGAGGTATGTCCTTTACAGTAAAGACATACATTGCAAGCCACCAGAAATATTAACTGTCTTGAGGTGTATTCGCATCATCTTAATTGTCGTCTCAAAGAAAAACGTCAATATGCCAATCCATCATTATCTAGTTTGTTACTAATTATATTTAATCAGACCCCACCAGTCAGATTAATTCCCAAGTCAGATGAACTCCTATGATCCAAGCCCAGTAAAAATCTGAAGTAGGACAGGTCATGTATTAAAAAGTTCCACAAAATCAGTGCTTAGTATTCAATTTCCCTTGTGTGTTTGTTTGCTTAAACTTGCACGGAAGTGATTGAATTATTAAAATAATTAAGCAAAAGATTTCTGAAAGAAATGATAATCATTTAATTAAGGAATTAAATCTAAGTAACTTAAATAGCAATTGCTTTGTGAATTGCTAGCGTGGCTGTAACTATACAGGAAATTTATAAAACCTGTAAGTATTAATACTAGGACTTGAAATAGGCTATAGTTGAAAATTACGATGGTATTTATTAACCATTTACAGCATTTTGTCTAAGTCAACTGAATATCATCTACTTTCACGTGCATTTTCATTTACAAACTTAAAATGATATATCTGTTTTAAAATAGGCAAAGCCAGACTGAATGGTCATCACAGCAGCTTTTACTTCACCCATGATGCATATAGAAAGGAGCCCTGGTGGTGCAGTGCTTAAATGTCAGCTGCAAATCAAAAGGTCTACCAGCTGAAACCACCAGACACTTACCAAGAGAAAGATGAGGTAGCCAGCTTCAGGAATTCAGATTGACAGCCTTGGAGACCCTGTGGGGCAGTTCCACTCTGTCCTC